ACATTGTTTAGGGGATGGGGATACAAATTATAAATGGGGATAAAAGCAATTAAAACCTAATTACTATTACAACCAAATTGAATAAAAAGTCTCAAAATCAAGATTTTTGGTGTTTAGGCTGACACGGGTCGTGTCCTGTGACACGGGAACCCGTGTCAGGACCCTGTAATAACCCATGCATGTATTTTTTTGTCCCAGCTGAGCTGACACGGGCCATTTCCTGTGACACGGGCACCCGTGTCAGAACCATGTCCTGCCATTTTGTCAAGCTTTTAATCCCAGTAAGATTGACACGGGCCGTGTCCTGTGATATGGGCATCCATGTCAAGACCCTGTCCTATCATTTTGTCAAGTTTTAATCCCAGTAAGATTGACACGGGCCGTGTACTGTGACACGGGCACCCGTGTCAAGACCCTGTCTTGTCATTTTGTCCCGTTTTCTCCCTGACACGGCCCGTGTTAGGCTTATAGAAGCATTTTTATGTAGTTTTGTGTGTTTGCAACTCTTCTACTCTGATTTGTCCTGTTTTATTCTTTTGAAAATGAAAGTAAAATGATGTATGAACAAGGATATCCCAGTTTGAGAAAACTTACCTCTTGAAAGAAAACTCAAAATGCGTATGGATGTTTCCAGTTTCAATGTGATGATTGATTGAGCTTCATTAGACCTCCTTGAAGTTGTTCCAATCCTTACTTTGTACTAAAAGTGTTCGAATTTCTCCAACCAAGTTAACTTGCAAGACGATGTTTTTTGAGTTTGGAAGGTGATGATAATGATGTTACAGAAGTTGTTCTTGTGTTTTAACAACTTCTATATGATGTATGTGAAGTACTTGGATGGTTTGTTTAAGGAAAACTTGCAAGGTATGAGATTCAAAGATTTGGACTTCAAAGCTAAAAGATGGAGGTTTTCTGAATAGTTCTTGTTTTTTGTGAGTGAAGGGATTTTGAGTGCTAGTTTCTCTTTCTCTTTTTTCTGGCCTCTTTCTCTTGCAAGTTTTCCCTCTATTTATATGCAAGAGATTTGGGAACAAGAGCTGATTAGGTTTGCAAGATAGCATGTTATGGTTTGGTTGAGATGCAAATATCAAACTATATTAATTCTTCCATGGTCCCAAGATGAAGTACCAAAGTTTCTGGTATAGAGGAGCTACTTTCCCTAATTTATAGTGGATTAAAATAATAAGTAAACAAGGTATGGGCTTAAAAAAAATTTGTACCAAAAGCTTGATTTTCAAGAATAGCAATGGTAACGTTTTACCTTAAACGGAAAATTATTTGGATAATGGCTTGTATATCTTGGTTAATGGTTCAAGATTTTATGTAAACATTAAATTATGGAGAGTTTTGAAAGTAAGAAGGCCTGTAACATAAGATTATGCAACATAGCATGTAGATTGGATCATGTGTTCTTCAACAAAAACACTTGTAATTCAAGAATAAATGCCTAACTTCATGCCCTTGAATCTCCTAGCTCAAGTATGATAAATTCATGCTCTAGGATTTTTTTTAAAAGCTTGAAACACCCCCTATAACTTTCATGTTGGCCATTTTGACAAAATCATCTTGGAACTATGTGAAAAAATGCCAAGAAGTTGGGATAAAATCCTGACCAAAATTTGTTGAAAATATCTCTAAGTGTTAGATGAAAGTGTCATTTTGGACATCAACCCTCTAAAACTAAGTTGTAGAATTCATCAAGATCTAAAACTTTCATGTTGAAAGTTTCCTTTGAATCATTTTGCATCATGGTGAAAAATAGGTATGAAGTTATGAAATAAACATGCATAAAACACTTAGAAAAATTTCTAAGTCTTGAAAAGTTTGAATTTTCAAATTGAATTTTAACTTTCTTGACTTTTTAATGATCAAGATTTACATTCTTGAATGTCTAGATGAATTTTGATCTTTGAAACTTATTATTGACCAAAAAGTCAATGTTTGACTTTTGGTGTATTAGTTGACTTTTCATTAGTTGACCAAATTTCAACTATCCATCCACTGATATGGAGAAATGATTTAAGACATGGAATTGGGTCAAAATGTTATATTTGAGTATTTGAGATTATCCTTCATGCCATTAGGTTATGTATTAGGTCAAAAAGTCAATGATCAGTCGTTCTTAGTCAAACCCTAATTGTGGTCTTAGTGTTTCAGAGGTGATTTTGTTTGATCAATTATTGAGAATCCTTGAACATTGGAGATCCTTTGTGAGGAATGTATTGAAAAAGAGAGGGAAAATTTTTGGGTACAATAGCTGCCCCTGTTCAATCTTCTTAAACCTGAAGAGTTAGATTGGCGGGTCCTCCATTCGTGACTTGAAGGTGGAAGATGATTGAACACTAGAGTGCCCAGAAATTTGCACTCGTTGATGCACAAAGTAATATGTTAGTTTATTGCGTCGGAAATGGGCTTAACATGTGCCATTTGGAGAGGTGATAAAGAATTTACGTAGATGGGCTTACAGCTGCCATCTAAAATGACTGTTGGTAGAAATTGGAAGAAGTATCAGAATAAATCTTTGGTCGATTTATACTGAAACATAAGATGTCTTTTTCCTGTTTTTAAACTGGAATAGATAAATCTAACTAGAAGAGGTATTTCGTTTGGCGACTTCACTAGGGAAATAATCTTAACCAGAAGAAGTCTGTTGATTTCCTATCATTAACTAGAAGAAGTGAATCAAACCAAAAGAGTTCTTTGTCTGCCTGTCTTTAATCTGGAAGAAATAAATCTAACCAGAAGAGGTTTGTTTGCCTGTCTTTAATCTACAAGAATTAAATCTAACCAGAAGAGATCTTTGTTATGTTGATTGATTTTTCCTGCAATGAATAGGGTTAGTTGCATGCTGATTTATGCATGGCGTAATTATGTTCTCAAAAAAAATGAGTTTATGTTGTATGCATTTGTCATGTATGCGCTATGATGTATGAATGTGAAACATTGAAGTGCATCTTTGTCTGGAAAATAAATCCTTGACAAATTGCTGGGGAGTATCGGGAAGCTGAATCACTGACTATCGGTGGAGATGAATAGTACGTGTATCTTCAACTTTGTTTAGAATGCTTCCACTGGGAATTCTTGTTTTCCGTTTGAGGGAACTGTTGTACCCCAATTTTTGACCTAAGATTCCATTTTTATTTTTTGCATTTTTAAAGATAAGTCAAGGTCACGAAATACAGTCGGTTTTAATCTCTCACCTTCAAGCATTGACTATGCGAAGATTGTCATTTCTAATAACATACAAAGGTGTATGTTCATGTTTTCTTTTGTTTCATGTGTAGAGACAGGTGTGAATCAAGAGCATCAGGTGTCGCGCCTCAATTAAGGTTTTGAGTCCCCCAAGCCCGAAGTACGGTTGATTGTGGATTCTCGAAGACTAATTCATCAAGGCACAACCGTTGCACCCTTAATTTCGCCCCTAATATGTTTTAGTCGCACTTTCATATCATATTTTGTTATTTGGTCACGATCATTAGTAAATATCTTCATTCATCACATTTTGCATCATTAGTCGTATTTAAGTTGATCAGAAAAAGTCAGTTTAAATCAAAGTTTGCATCGTCTTTCAGTTGTAAAATATCCGGCATTTTGCTTCATGCATTTTTATCTATTTACTCATTTGTTGCATTGCTCCAAGTTGTTTATATGTCAATAATAAAAATATTTTGGTTTTATAGACCGACTGTTAAAAGCGATTCGACACTATGCGGGAAATTAGCGAGAAAATATTTCAAGTTTTCACCTTTTACCGATCATTTTATGAATCTGCGTTTCGCGTAGATCATGACGGTATGCTCGCTTTATTTTTTCGGTACAGTTCGAAGTCTCGTTTTTAACCTTAAACGTCTGTTTAGTCTGATATTTTTATTATTATTTTATTTTTGATTTTTGACTTCTTGAATATTTTTTTCTTTAATCTTCGTGACATGTAGTTTATTTTAATGTGTTCATTTTATTTTATCGGATAAATTTTCGTCCTTTTTTTATCGTTTTCGGTCATTTTGTGTCTTTATTTTTAATTCAGAAAAAATTCAAAAAAATTAGTTTAAATTGAGTTATTTTTTATACTTTCAGGTTTTATTTTATTTTTGTCATTCATGGGCGTTTTTGTCACAAAAATATATTGATTACACTATACTATGCTCTCATTGGCTGTTAGCAAAAGTGGTGGATTGATACAAACAAAAAAACAAAAAAAACTTACAGTAGCTCCTCATCTATTCTCTCTAACTCTCTATTCATTGGCTCGTCCCATTTTCCCCTGTTCAAAAAAAACACACACATTCCTATCCATTCCCCAACGTTCCTCCATCCCTCACCTCATCTCAAACCTTATGCTAACCTCACAAAGTAAAGCCAATATCACTATCCTGCAGAACATATACACGTTACTCCACTAAAGCTGCAAATTCAAACCACTTTTTTTTTTAAAATCATGTTTGTATTTAAATCATAAACAGCAAGCTTGTAATATCCTTTAAACCTTCACGTATCTATTCTATTCTAGCAACATATAAGCATTTCTCACAGTATAACACCAATCTCGTGAAATCCACACTCCAGTCCATTATGAACCTGCTTCCACCATCACCTTCATCATCTACCATAACACAAGAAAAGTGAAAGGAAGAAGAAAGGGATATTGTTTTGAAATGCTCGGCACATTTTCGACACCGCATATCCGTCAACAACACCTCTGACCCATACACAACTGCTCTAGCCATCACCGGAACATGCCATCAACCCCTTTTGCGACCCTTCGACGCAACAACAACAAAAACCTCCGTCGGCCAGCCTCCACGTGATTGCAACCTCTGCAGAATCACACCTCAACCGTTCCCCTACACCTCCAGACTGGGCTGTCGCAAATCTCTAATCTCGTGATTCTCATCTTCAATGTACAAACTCGGTCTCACCGCTTGTTACCCACCGTCCCAAATCACTCACTCGTTCTCACTCTCTCTTATCCCTTCTCATCGTGCGTTTTTGCTACCGAAATGGAAATCGATTCATCTCCACTCCGGCTGAACGAGAGCGAGGTTGTTGTCGGTGCGAAGAAAGTGAGTCGGAACAATTCACGCGGGGTTCGTGTTGTTGGAAGTCGGATCTATGATTCTGAAAATGGAAAATCTTGTCATCAGTGCCGTCAAAAAACAATGGATTTTTCTGCTTCATGTAAGAATCCAAAGAATGGGAAGCCTTGTACCATTAGGTTCTGTCACAAGTGCCTTTTGAACAGATATGGGGAAAAGGCAGAAGAAGTAGATCTATTGAGTGATTGGATGTGTCCAAAGTGCAAAGGCAGTTGCAACTGCAGTATTTGCATGAAAAGAAAAGGTCAACAACCAACTGGTTTGCTAGTTTATACTGCCAAAGCATCTGGTTTTAAGTCTGTATCAGAGATGCTCAGCAAGAAGGCTTCTCATGGTTTGGATAAGGAGCTTGTAGTGCATCTATTTGAGGAACCATGGAAGGAAAACTCACTAGGTAGAAACAAGGTTGAAAATGAGAAAACCAAGAAAATGAAGCGAAGAAAATTAAAAGAAATATCTAATGGCAACAATGTTGACGCTGCTTGTCAAAAGAAGACATCGAAAAGGAAACGTTGTAATGGAGTTCCTGAAGATGAAGTAAAAAGAAATAAAAACAGCTACTGGCAGCATGCGCCGCCCCAAGGTGTGGTGTGTTTGTTTTTTTTAGTTTAATTTCATTATTTATTATTAGAAATTAGGGTTAGTGTCTTTATGTTGAGTTTGGGCCTAAAGGGCCGATAACATGCTTATACACACCCTTTCTATTTCTTTATACTTTTAGATATTTAGGTTAATGCAATTAAATTCCTTTTAATTAGTTATAAAAAAAATAAAAAAATATATTAGTAAATCTTATAATTAATTTAGTTTAATATTAATTTAGAATTCTTTAATTAGTTTAGATTTATTTTATAACTTTATAATTTTATTTCATTTAGTAAATTTTAGAATTTTATTTGTTTTAGTTTAGTTTAATAACTTTAGAATTTTATTTGATTTTTATTTAAGTTAACTTTAGAATTTTATTTGTTTAGTTTTAGTTTAATAACTTTAGAATTTTATTTGATTTTATTTAAGTTAACTTTAGAATTTTATTTGTTTAGTTTTAGTTTAATAACTTTAGAATTTTATTTGATTTTATTTAAGTTAACTTTAGAATTTTATTTGTTTAGTTTTAGTTTAGTGACTTTATAATTTTTATTTGATTTAGAATTAGTTTAATAAGTTTATAATTTTTATATAATTTAATAACTTTAGAGTTTTTATTTGATTTAAATTTAGTTTAGTAGTTTTAGAATTTTATTTGATTTAGATTTAGTTTAGTAACTTTGAAATTTTCATTTGTTTTAGATTTAATTTAGTAACCTTAAGATTTTAATTTAATCTAGATTTAACTTACTAAATTTTAAAGCTTTAGTTTAGTTTAGATCAAATTCAATAATACTAGATTTTTTTATAACCTTAGAATTTGTAATTAGTTTAGAATTATTTTAGTAAGTAATTTTTAATTTAGTTCGAATAACTTCTTTAGATAATTAGTTACACTCTCTTTTATTCTATTTAAATATCTTTGTCATTTTAATTTCTCGATGCTTTTGGTCATTAATTTGTTTCATTAGATTTGTTTTTCTTGTGAATTTTTGAATGCTTATACTTTGTGGATTCATCTTATCTTACTTGCTCGATTTACTCCAAGGGAAAGAATTAAATTTGTTGACTTCATGTTATCAAACACATATCATCCGATCGTGCGAATACCCTTTTTTTCATTTTTTTGTTTGTTTACTATTTTGCTAAACTCAAGATAATTTTCCCAAAAGACTCCATTTTCAAACTCACACCTTTTAAGTCAAAACTTCGACACTAGGTCGTCGTATCTTCAAAAATCTCGTTCATACCCATCTTTTAGCCAAACGAATCATTTTAATCAAACAAACAATTTTAAACCAAAAAATAGATATTTCAAAAGGTTCATGCGGAGTACCGCAGATGCACTGGGTGCTAATACCTTCCCATTGTATAACCAACCCCCGAACTCTCGATCTCTTTCAAAAAACGCATTGTATTTTTATTACTTTTAAGTATTATTTTACATTGCATATTTTAGGGTTTTATTTCGCTCTTTTCCCTTTTCCCTTGGAAATAATAAAGCGCGGTGGCGACTCTTGCTTTTGTGAGTCAAGTTAATTAATAGCTTGATCTCCGATTTTCACCGCTACAGGAACTCTGCAGGGAAAGTTTATTTCTGCTAGGGAAATATAATTCAGGAACATGGGTTATCCATTACTCTACTAGGGAATCATAATTTGAATGGGGAGGATGAAAGTTAACCGGTATCTGGTCGAATTCCAGGCTTTGCAACAACTTTCTAAGGAGAATGAAGTTAACTGTTATTTGGTCGGATTCCAGGCATCACAATAACTTTTTGAGGTTAACCGTTATCTGGTCATATCCCAGGCTTCGCAACAACTTTCTGAGATACATGAAGTTAATTGTTATCTGGTCGGATTCCATGCATCGCAATAGCTTACTGATGTTAGATGAATTTAATTGTTATTTGGTTGGATTCCAGGCTTCGCGATAACTTACTGAAGTTAACTGTTATCTGGTCGGATTCCAGGCTTCGCAGAAAATTTTTGAGATAAATGAAGTTAAATATTACCTGGTCGGATTCTAGGCTTCGCAATAACTTGCTGAAGTTAGATGAAGTTAATGGTTATATGGTCAAGTTCCAGGCTTCACAACAACCTACTAAAGTTAACTGTTATATGGTCGGATTCCAAGATTCGCAACAACTTTCTGAGATAGATGAAGTTAATTGTTATCTGGTCAGATTCTAGGCTTCACAACAAATTACTGAAGTTAACTATTATCTGGTCGGATTCCAGGCTTCGGAACAACATTCTGAGATAGATGAAGTTAATTGTTATCTCGTCAGATTCCAGGCTTCGCAACAACATACTGAAGTTAACTGCTATCTGGTCGGATTCCAGGCTTAACAATAACTTTCTGAGGTTAACTGTTATCTGGTCAGATTCCCGGCTTCGCAACAACTTTCTGAGATAGTTAAAGTTAATTGTTATATGGTCATATTCCAGGCTTCACAACAACTTACTGAAGTTAACTGTTATCTGGTCGGATTCCAGGCTTTACAGCAAATTTATGAATTTAACTATTATATGGTCAGATTCTAGGATTTGCAACAACTTTCTAGGAGAATGAACTTAATTGTTATTTGTTCGGATTCCAGGATTCACAAAAACTTACTGAAGTTAAATATTATCTGGTCAGTTTCCAAGCTTTGCAATAACTTACTAGCGATAGTATCAACTTCGTTGGTGATAAGGGGTTTTGTCCGTTGATTTGTAATGGTCTGAGAATAGAACTTGTGCCGGGGAATTTGTATTATGTTGGGTAAATAAACCCTATTGAGAAGGATATTTTGGTGTCCTTATTGGAGAGATGACTTCTGTTGGCGAAGAGCTCTTCAAAATTTCCTTTTTTGGCTAAGGCCAACTTAGCTGGGGATTGTCAGGAGATTAGGACTCCAGATGAATACTGTATGAATTCCATGTTGTGGGGATAATTTTGTTGAAATAACTCTATGGGGATATCTTGAATCCTTAATAAAATGTTTATTACTATTTTTAAACATGCATTTGTTAACAGTTAATCATGTTCATATGCATATGTTCATTCAATTTTAGTCATTGGACTTTTTTGCACTCAAAACAGAAAAGAAAACAAAAAGTTTGCACTTCGAAGTATATTTGTATTGATGTTTTACCTATAAACATGCATTTTTGTACAAGGATACAAAAATCCTAGTAAGAGGAAATCTTCGAAAGAATGAAAGGAATACAAAGTGAAAACAAAATAATAGCCATGTGGAAGTAATCTCATTGGATTCCAACTCCGCCATCGCCCCTATGTCTTCGAACATTATCCCTTGTCGTTGAAAGAAGTTGATTGAATTAATATTATACCATTGACTTTTGACCCTGGTAATAAATCTTGGTTGTGGTGATTCACAGGACATAGTCATACGCTTTAATCCTTAACTTTTGCCTGGACCGCACTTTCGGGTTTTCAGCCCATCAGGATACCCTTTTTTGCCCAAGCCTCCCTTTCGGGTTTTTGACTTGCCGGGTGTATAATATTTTGTTTATATCCCTAAATTTTTCCCAAACCTTTTGGTTCGCCAGGATGCCCTTATTTTTGGCTAGGTATGTCGACCTAGCGGGCCATTCTTTATGCATAGTATTTTTAAATATGTCTGCATTCACAGGATGAGGGAATTCTTCACCGTACATAGTAGTTAGCGTCATGGAACCGCCAGAGAATACTTTCTTAACAACAAATGGCCCTTCATAAGTGGGAGTCCATTTTTCCCTGGGATCTCCTTGTGGAAGAATGATGCGCTTTATTACCAAATTTCCAGTCTGATACACTCGAGGTTTGATCTTTTTGTTGAAAGCCTTGATCATACTCTTTTGATACATTTGACCATGACAAACAGCAACCAATATTTTCTCATCAATTAAGTTCAATTGATCCAATCTAGTTTGAATCCATTCGTCTTCACCTAAATCTGCTTCTTTCATAATCCTTAGAGAAGGAATCTTTACTTCAACAGGTAAGACAACTTCCATGCCATAGACTAAAGAGAAAGGAGATGCCCCAGTTGAAGTTTGAGCCGAATTACGGTACCCATGAAGAGAAAATGGTAGCATCTCATGCCAGTCTTTGTAGGTCACCACCATCTTTTGCATAATCTTCTTTATGTTTTTATTGGAAGCTTCCACTGCGCCATTCATCTTATGTCTGTACAGAGAAGAATTGTGATGCTTGATTTTGAACTGAGTGCAAAGTTCTATAATTATAGCATTGTTGAGATTGGTTCTGTTGTCAGTGATGATCATTTTAGGGATGCCGTAACGGTAAATAAGGTCATGCTTGATAAACTGGGCTACAATATTCTTGGTGATTGAGGAAAATGAGGAAACCTCAACCCATTTGGTAAATTAGTCAATGGAAACAAGGATGAAATGATGTCCATTAGAGGCAGTGGGCTTGATCTCTCCAATCATGTCAATGCCCCACATTGAAAATGGCCACGGAGAAGTCATGAAATTCAAAGGAATTGGAGGTACATGAACCTTGTCGGCATAGATTTGACACTTATAATAAGTTCTCGAGTGGTGGTGGCAATCATTTTCCATAGTCGACCAATAGTAACCAGCCCTCAAAATATTCTTGGCCAAAGTATGCCCACTAGAAGTAGTTCCAAAGAGACCATCATGCATATCTTCCATGATCTTCTCTGCCTCATTCTTGTCCATACAACGGAGCAGAGTAGAATCATGGTTGGGCTTGTATAGAATCCCATTGCTTACGAAGAATTTTGCTATGAATCTTCGCAGGAATTTTTTGTCATTGATGGAAGCTCGTTCAAGATACTCTTTTGCTACAAGATATATCCCCAATTCATGATACCAAGGCTTCTCATCATCTGTGTCAATCTCATAACAGTGCGTCGGTTCGTCAAATCATTCGATTATAATTTTAGGAGCCCCCCAATTGACTTTGAACATGGATGAAATTGTTGCTAAGGCATCGACTAACTGATTTTCTTCTCTTGGGAAGTGTTCTAAAGTGACCTCCTCAAAGTA